TCTAGCCCTTGTCCTCTCAAAAGGAATATATATTACAAATTTGAATTCTACCTTCAAGGGAGAGATGCCGAAATGGACAGCAAGTGAGGCTCTGGATTGGGGAGATAATGAGACAACTACAACCTTTCCTTTATTTATGTTGGAAAGAAGTTCATCCAGACTTTGTTTCTCCAGCATGACAGTCTCAGCTGATGTTACACAACCACTACAATTACACATAAGTGGGTCTATTACACATCCCGCGAGGGACAATATGAGAAATATAAGGAAAATCGAAGAGCGATAATTCATGAAAGAAGAAACGTTACTCAATATTATGAAATTAGGGAGTTCCACAATTCAATTTTTACAAATAATCTGACATGTTTATAAAAAATTTACAGCTTTTCAAATGGTTCACCTTGTATATAAAACGTTTAAGAAGTTCCTTCGATTTTGTTATCGATATTCATAGCGTACGAGCAAGATATATCAATGGAAAACAGTACATGAAAGAAGAAAAGCATATAAAACGAAAATAATTATAAGTTCATCTTACAGATTTTTTTGGCCAACAAACCGCTTCAATCATTCAAAAATAGTTCACAACAGAGTTAAAATTACCTGCATGCTAAGCAATCCTTCAGTGATATCTTAACTGGTTCAGCTTTCAATTGCTTTCTAGAAGTTGAAACCTAGATAACATACGCAGAAATGAAGAAGACAAATCAATGAACAGAAAATTTCTGAAAGAATCTCTTTCGGTCAGTTTTAAAAGGATACAATGTGCTGCAACTTTTAAGCGAATTGAAGAGGTACCTCAACTTTATCCGGCTTCGTGGAAGTGGCTTTAAGCCCCTTGAGAGAAACTATGCAAGCCTGGGAAGGCGCTATATAATCATTCAGATCCCCGATCCTCAATGTTGCCGAGAATTTCTCAGACATCTCCTAATCACCGAATTCCAATTCAAGAGTTAACAAAACAAATAAAGCAGAACAGGGGGAATCGCAACTCCACCAATACGAGAAAGCGAAATTCCCAATAAAATTTAGGGTTTCAAAGCACGCAAAACCCTCCAAAAAGAAAGGGCGATAGAGACGAGAACAAATTTAAGCCGATCAATCGGAGTCAGAGTCGGTGATTTTACCAGAAACTCAGAACGATGTAATCAGCGGAAGCTAATAAATGCGATCCCAAGCAGAGTAATAGAAGAAAGAAAAAAAGACGACGGATATGGATGTATCAAACGACGGCGGATTGGTGGTGGTGGCGGCGCACCGATGAGGGTATTCTCTGAAGGGAAGAGGTTGAAGGGTACGTGCCGGGAACAGTCCCGGCGATGAGGAGAAATGACAAAAGGGAACAAAAGAGAGAATTGGGCTGAAACAGAACGGTGGTGATGGAACCTAGAGGTGAACACAAGAGGAGCTATGTCGTGTCGGGTAGTAGAATGGCAGCCAAAACCTCCAGAATCAGCGGAAGTCGTCTTTTTTTTATTTTATTTTATTTGCACCATACCTAGTAATTATGACTTAGGTAGGGTCGTTAATCTCACGGTTTTTAACGGTGTTTATTAGGGAGAGATTTTCACACTAGTAATGTTTTATTCCCCTCTCCAACCGACATGAGATCTCACAATCTACCTCCCTCGGGTCTAGCGTCCTTGTTGGCGCACCACTCCGTGTCTCGAGTCTAGCGTCCTTGTTGGCACACCACCCCGTGTCTAGCTCTAATATTGTATTGTAATAGTCCAAGCCCACCACTAATAGATATTGTCCACTTTGGCTCGTTATGAATCACCGTTAGCCTCACGATTTTAAAATGCATCTACTTCGGAGAGGTTTCCACACCATGAATGTTTCTTTTCCCTCTCCATCCGATGTGGGATCTCACACGGTAACTTTATAATCTTAGCTTTCTATTTTAGCTCATGCCTCACTCGCGACTTAAGTGGCTACTTGGTCATCTAAAGCTCTAGGCAAGTTCTAGCTATGGTCGTACTTATCCTCTCAATGTCCTCACACTTTTAGGGAGGTGCAAATTCTAAGTTCAAATTAGGCTAATACATACTGACTTTGATTGGGTACGTATTTGTCGACACGGTGTCATCCACGCCATCATTCTCACGAATGACCGTCCACCTTGTGCCTTGCTCCTGGGTTTTGCATCTTTAGTGGTTCTTTGATATTGTGTCTAGTCGCCTTAAACTTGCTTGGTAATTCTTTATGGTCTAGACCACATTTAACTTCAATAGGCATTACAAAGATTCTACATTTATTGTTATTCTAATAGGGGTTCTTGTTATCTCGATAGGTGCGGGGACACCTCTTGCCTAGGTCCCTCGACCTAAGGTATTTTTCTTCTCGGAGTTCCTTGGGCATCGCTCCCCTAAGCTGGACTCTTGTTCCCACAAGTTCGTGGTATCATTTCCATATTTTCTCATCATGTAAAATATTAAGACTAACTCATCCTTAGTCAAAAGTGCATGAGTTTATTGATCCACAAGTCTCGTTACTCATGCTAACTTCATTTACTTGGTTGTTACAAGGCGTAGCCGAGTTAGGCTATGGAGAACTCTAGGGCTCTCTATCTAAATAGTCTATCAAACGTATTAACCAAGTGCTTTGATAGTAATATGTAACGACCCACTTTTTGATGGGCTCGAGCCACTGACCATCACTTACTGGCACAGAATATTTGAAAGTACACATGAATTTAAAACATTTAAAACTCGTGCATGCACATTAGAAATTCAATTAAAATAATAATAAAAATTTTGATTTTATAGACAACAAACAAAATACAAGATTTAAAAGGCAAGTATCTGCTAGGGTTTATAAAGAGTGTTTCATTGTGTTTCGTTCTCCTCTCCAACCAATGTGGGACATCACAATCCACCCTCGATCCACCCTCCTTCGGGGCCCAGCGTCGTCACTAGCACATCGTCTCGTGTCTACCCCTCTTCGGGGAACAGCGAGAAGGCTGACAAATCGTCCGGTGTCTGACTCTGATACCATTTGTAACGACCCAGGCCCATCACTACCAGATATTGTCATTTCTGGGCTTTCCCTTTCGAGCTTCCCCTCAAGGTTTTAAAACGTATTTGCTGGGGAAAGGTTTCCACACCCTTATAAAAGGTGTTTTGTTCTCCTCCCCAACCAATGTGGGACATCACAGTTTCTCTAGGTCTCCCAAAATTTGCCTATTATTAGTTTCGTTCATCATCATCATCATAGTTTAGGTCCTCGAGGTGCAACCTCAGCATCAATTATAAGTTCTCGTAAGGTTCATGCATTTTAAAGTTCAACTAACTCTTAAGGTACTACTGTGAACCACTACCACTCATGATAGGTTTGCTAACGGGCGAACACTCTAATAATCTCTAAAGAATACAGTTATAAATCACAACTCTAGTTCTATAGTTATCCAAATTCCTAATAATCGAGCCAAGTTTACGATTAGGGGTTAGTTGGCAAACTCTTAATCGTCCCTATATAACTGCATAAACATCTCATGCATGAACAAAGTTTCACTAACTCTCAAGGTACTATTACGAACCTCTACAACTCGTGACAGGTTTACTAAGAGAAAATTAATTGGCAAACTCCCTAATAATCCCCACACATGACAATCATATATCATAAACGAGTTCTATACTTATTTTAACCCCTAACAATCGAGCAAGGTCTACGAATAGAGACTAATTGGAGAACCAGATAAAAATTACATACGTAAACAAATTATGAGTAAAGATAGAGCATAACAATTTAAACACGAACACCTAGTCATGATTATATTTTTTTTCGGTTCAAAGTTATGTTCGTTCATTTTTTAGGAAGTATGTATCATGGCAATTCGACATCCTTTTCATAGATCAAATCAACTTTGTTCGAGCTTAAATTTCTATAGCATGCTTCTTATATCATATTTTCATACGTTCTTTAAGCATAACTTAATTCGAAGTTTGGAGGTGCCACTTACCTGGATTGCATGACACTTTCATTAAGAAAGGAGTAAGTTATGAGCATTCAAAGTTTCGGCGTTATTTTCAAAACTTATCCATGTGTTTTCCACCACTCATATCTCGTGTTCTAGACCTCTAATGAATCTACTTTCTTCAGCAATGTTGTAGTACTTTTCAAGTTGAATTCATGGACACCAAAATCGTGTATTTTTTGTTAAGAAATGAATAAGTTATGAACGTTCAAATTTTTCGATTTTTCCAAAACTTACCCGTGATTAATATTTTATGTAATAACTTAACTTTATAGACTTGTGATCTTGAAAGCCCAAAAGATTCATTAAATATATAAGGATTTTTTATTGATAAAAACTAATTAGTCATTAAATTCTAGAAGATATGACCTTAACATTCATGTAATTGCATCGTGCAGACGATATATTAAGGAGTTTATTAAGGATACAATGCCCTTTGAATGAATAATAATGACGGGTAACAACCACTTTATTTAGAGATATCCACTTTATTTAGAGATATCCACGGGGCAGACGTTGGGAGGGGAAGCCTTCTCCGTCTCCCTCCTGGCACCTATTTCATCTTCCATTACTGCAAATTCTCTATTTATTTATGTAGAATCGGGTTTCCTGCGAGAAATTTTTTGGGAATATAATTCCAGCCTCATTTATTTAACATGAAAAAAGTATTTCCCACTCCCTCTTCCATTCCCTTTCCCGATCAAAGTGGAGTCCCGACTTCATGAGTAAAATAGATATCTCTAACTCCACAGACCACCAAGCCATTCGTTCATAGTATTTTAAAATGCATTTTATATGTAGAGCAAACCAACACACTTAATAGAAAATATAACAAACATGAGTATTTCAACATGAGTATGAGATGCATTTCATCGCTCATTCGTTCTATATTTCACCTGTCACCTGCCAATTATCTTTTAGATTAAACATTAAGAGTGAAATGGAGTGCACAATCTTAAGAATTAGGACTAACGGCAGATTGGTTCAGACAAATTAGGGAACTGTAGAGATCTAGCTTGAATGCATAACAGCAACAATTCTCAAAGAAATAGGACCATTTACTATTATTGATGAGCATTACAAGTATAGCATGCACACGATGGTATTACACGCCCTAAAGCTCAAAATAATGGACTATTCTTCACCCAAGCAATAATAAAACAAAGAAGAACGCCTGGCATATATAGCTCCAGTTGTTGGATCAGATCCAATATAAAATGGTTCATACGGTGACAGTAGGTGACAAAGTACAAAAAGGTATGTAGAAGGATGAAGAATGCGAACCTGGGTGGAAGAAATGAGGTTCAGTAAAATTTATGCATTGTCTTTCCATACGTATATTTAGCCTCGTCGGATCTCCGGGCTGTTTTCGTAACGTTTGCTTTGTTGGAATTCTGTCTGCAATCAGAACTTTTGGACAACTTCCTGGAACAAGATTCAAAACCTGATTCGATTCTGTTATGGGATGAAATTTCGTATCCCATTGCCTCAAACTCCTGCGGGAACGAGTTCAGTTGATTAGTTTGATAAATGAACACTCTTGGGGTGTGAAATTAACAGCAGAAATAGGCAGTTAAACCTTGGATTTAGTTGCATAATAGGGTGTTAGACAGGGATTCACATCCTTCAACAAAAAGTCATCCGGACTGCCTGGGGACGTTGGATCACAGTCACTGAACTCCTGAGTACACATGCTGGATGAGTGATTTGACATCTAGTAGATAAATAGACTATGCTTTGGTGCAGCAAAGACCTAGATGATTAATAATAGGGCTCTACTAACCATACTCTAGAGCTTTGCTCATTTGAGCAAACAGGGCAATCGTGACAGGATTGACATGAACCAACATTAAATGATGGATATGAAGATCGAAGGGTATCTTTTGTGCTTACCAATGAGTTAGAAGCATCCTCGTGATGATCATATGTAGGTGTGTGAGGAGAACTACTACCTTGTAACCAAGACTTTCCTGAATATTTATCAGCCTTTACCTGCACAAAATAAAATGTCAATTGTACTATGAGATAAATCAATTGCCACAGAGGAAGCAACGACTACCCATACAATAGCAGCTATTCGGTATCAGAATCATATCACGAAACATCCAAATTTCATTAGAGGCTCTTTTAGCTTTTAAGCAGTCGTACTTTCATAGCCCATATCAAAGAAATGAAAGCTTTCAGAGGCTAGAGCTAAATTGGATCATCCTATAGTTAAAACAGCCAGCCCGGTTGAGGATTATTGAAAGGAGTAGTCCCATGTTGGCTAATTAAGAGGAAGATCATAAATTGAGGATTATTGAAAGGAGTAGTCCCATGTTGGCTAATTAAGAGGAAGATCATGAGTTTATAAGTAAGAAACACTATCTTCATTGGCGTGAGACCTTTTAGAGAAACCAAAAGTAAAACCATGGGAGCTTATGCTCAAAGTGGACAATATTGTAGCATTGTGGAGTTCGTGGTTCCTAACATGCTATCAGAGTCATGCCCTTAACTTAGTCATGTCAATATAATCCTCAAATGCCGAACAAAGAAGTTGTGAACCTTGAAGGTGTAGTCAAAAGTGTCTCAAGTGTTGAACAAAGGGTGTACTTTGTTCAAGAGATCTAGAGAAAAGAATCGAGTCTCGATTAAGGGGAGGTTGTTCAACGGCTCTATAGGTCTTTGTTCAAGGAGTAGTCCCACAAACTAATTAAGAGGAAAATCATGAGTTTATAAGTAAGAACACTATATCCATTGACATAAGTTCCTAACACGCACTTTGGTGATCGGTCAATCAGAGTTTTCCTACTTAATGATGTAAATAGTATTGCTTTCTTTCATACCTCGGCTAGGTCCTCGGCGAGGGAATGAAGTTGGCCAGTGAGAGTGGTGACCTGCTTTTGTAGAGTGGGGATGATGTGTTTGGTTTGCTTCAACTCTGAACCCTGCTTTTCAAGAATATCTTGAAGCTGCGAGTTCATAACATCTGGGAACAATATTGCATTCTTCAATGACTTTATTTCTTCTCTTTGCTTCAAACATAAATCTTTCAACTTCTCAATCTGATAGCAACAACAATAAGAAACAGTGTTGTGTTAACAAACAATATGTGCAAAATGACAGGCACATTACTCCCTAATCATAACACAAAATTCAACCATAAGTACCAAAATCGAATCACGAAATGATTTCACACAAAAAAATCGAACATAATAGAGAAAGATCCAAACTTAATAATGAGAATGCCATATTTAGCTAAAGAATAAAGAGCCTCTAACATGACCAAAAAACTTCAACTACAACAATATTCTTATCCCTCACTCGTCGTCAATCTTTCAGGAAGAACAAAAATTTAACACAAGTGCACTAATGATAAGGAATCAGCTCATGGAAAAGCTTTGGAACGGATTACCTTGTTAATCGAATATCTCAAAGCAAGAACACTTGTATGAGATTGGAATCACTCCACAAGATCGATCATGTTTAACTTGAATGATTCTAAACATACCATCTAAACTTTGCAGTATAATTTAGAACCTGAAGTAAAAAGTAGTATTTTTCTGGTTAAAAAAGCATACTCAATCCTCACCTCTCTGTACTTCTCCTCCAGAACTAATTTGAGCTCAGTGATCTCCAACTCCTGCTCCTTGTTCAAACCCAAAAGCTCTCTTTCACTCCTCAGCACCATCGCCAATGTCCTCGTATTCCCTCTAACCTCCGTCAACGCCTTCACCTCCTTCTCCTTCTTCTCCACCGATCCCTTCCCAAACAGCTTCTTATGCAGCCCTCCAAAGTTCGTCCCCTTCCTCGCCGTCTTTTTCAAATCCTCCGCAATTAAATCCGACGGAATCACCAACCCCACCGCCTGCTTCACCGCCTTCGGTTTCGAACCAGACCGCTTCTCCATGAATTTCTTCACCATCGCCGTCAAGTTCTGATCCGACGGCTTCGCCTTAGTCCTAGCCAAATCAGACGCCTTGATTTGAACAAGAGCGCGCGAAGACGATGATTTCGCAGCCATTGGAGACTTGAGCTTGAACTCAGAGGAAGAAGAAGGATCGGAGAAATGGGAGGAAGTAGAAGATCGCACATCGTAGGAACAGTAGCGCGAAGAGGGCTTGATGACTTTCGCCATAGATGAAAAGCTCGAGATCTTGACAATGAAAGATATCAATTACACGCACAAATCTTCGAAGAAAAACTAAGATTTTGGCAATGTTTGATTCATCGCATTTTTAGGGCTTTTGTTCTTCGAGTTGGAGAAGATGGAGCGAAGAGATTGATTTTTTTTTAAAAAAAGGGACGAAGGTTCGATTCTGCTTTGGAGTGAACACGTGGCAGCTTCTGCAGCTCTGTGTTCGGCGCTTTCTAAATTCAAATAATCATAAACTATCTGTTGGCGGGAAAATGGAACTGCGGTATGAAACGGTGTCGTTTGGTAGTGGATAAAACGGTGCTTATAAATTAGCTTGTCAATTTCTTTTTTCATGAAATAGCTTGTCGATTTAATTTAATATAGACTTTTTTTAAAAAAAATTAGGTTAAAAAATATCCTCTTTAAATTAAAAATTAAAAAATATCCATAAAAAAAAATATTTTTATTAATGGTTCAAAAATATCCCAGTTTTGAAATAGGCTGTCTGTGTCGAGATTCCTATTATTGCTTTTTGGTTCTTTTCCCCAGCTTGTCGCTCCTGTGTGGGAGGGGTCAAGCTTGGAGACTGATCATTTGTGGGGAATCAAACTATCAAGAAACGGGGAAGCCTGTTATAGAGCAGTCGACTAGAAGTATCAGACTGCTGGCCTGAGAGAAGACGGTCGGACAATGCTTGGGGATCAAGCTATTCAGCACGACTTACCTATTTACCGAGAAAAAGAAAAGAGATAGTAAAGTTTTAAAAAGTTAAAAAAAAATACGAGTTAATTGGTAAAAAATACCCTTGAACTTTTATAAAGATAAATAAATTGGAGTTGTAGGTAAAAACAGATAATACTTTATTTTACAAACATCTTTGAACTACCAAACATGTTGTCGATGTCACATCACCGGTCTCTCCTAGCTTTATATCTCGTGACATGGTCACTCTCTCTCATGCAAGGAGAGAAGAAAAACTCAAAGGAATTGATGGGAGCCCGCACGAGTGGTGGAGCATGTGGTTTAATTCGATGCCAAGCAAAGAACCTTACCAGGGCTTGACATGCTGCCAATCCTCTTGAAAGAGAGGAGTGCCTTTGGAAACGCGGACACAGGTGGTGCATGGCTATCGTCAGCTCGTGTTGTAAGGTATTGGGTTAAGTCCCGCAACGAGCGTAACCCTCGTGTTTAGTTGCCGAAAATTTGAGTTAGATTGAGTTGAGTTATGAACTTTGCTCAAATTGCACATCACCAACCCAACTAACCTAAATTTTCAGATTGTTCCAAAAGAACTCAACCCAACCCAACCCGTGTACGCCCCCTTACATGCATAGTCATACAGTCTAACTTTCAATGGTCAAAAGACCAATAGATGATAGCCTAAAGAAAAATTGATGCTTTATGCTCGTGGGACCTCATACATATGTGACTCGTATAAGCCAGAAAAAAGTTAATTATTCACGTTTCCTTCTTTTTATGACTCTTTCGAGTCCCTACTTGCATTTAGCATTTGGTGTAGGTCGATATTAATGAAAGTGATACCATTTACATAAGAAAGTAATGTGGGGATTATGAAAGTGGTATGCTCGGGCGACCGATGCGGTCGATATTAATGAAAGTGATACCATTGACATAAGAAAGTAATGTGGGGATTATGAAAGTGGTATGCTCGGGTGACCGATGCCATAATTTTTTTTTTTTTATGGAGAAAAAATTGAAATTAATGAAAATAATTAAAAGTATTAATGAAAACTTAATTAATGCTTATTTAAACTACAATCGACCACCTTTAACCCTGGTATATAAAAAAATATATAATATGTGTGAGAGTCCTACATTGGTTGTGGAGGAGAACGAATTTATAAGGGTGTGGAAACCTTCCCCTGTTTTAAATTCTTGAGGATAAGCTCGAAAGGGAAAGCCCAAAGTGGACAATATTTGTGAGAGGTGGACTTGAGTTGCTATAAAGGTGTAGAAATCTTCCCGTGTTTTAAAGCATTGAGGGTAAGTTCGAAAGGAAAAGCCCAAAGAAGACAATATCTACTGGCGGTGAACTTGAGCCCTTGCAAAAAGGGGTGAATTTGGCAAGGGTCCCACATAGGATGCTGGGCCCCGAAGGGGGTGGATTGCGGGAGGGTGTTCCCCAAAGGGGGTGAATTTGGCGAGGGTCCCACATAGGATGCTGGGACCCGAAGGGTGGTGGATTGTGAGAGTCCTACATTGGTTGGAGGGTGTTCCCCAGAGGGGGTGGATTTGGCAAGGATCCCACATAGGACGCCGGGCCCGAAGGGGGGGGTGGATTGTGAAAGTCCTTTTATAAGAATGTAAAAACCTTCTCCCAGCAGATGCATTTTAAAGCCTCGAGGGTAAGCTCGAAAGGTAAAGTTCAAACAGGACAATATCTGCTAGTGGTAGACTTGGGCTTTATGTATATTCAAATCGAATATAAAAACGAAAAGAAAAAAAATCCAAATGGTCCCTATCCTGTTCTCCACGAAATTAAATATGAAATTTTGTAAGAATAGAAATTGAAACAAGTGGTAGAGACGAGGAATACTTCCACGTCCACATGAACATCTCCTAATATGATATCGAGAAGTAACCTGAATTAAACACCATAGCGAATCGATATCAACGTTTTTCTCATTACAAACTAACCGAAAATTTAAACAGTAAATCTAAACAAATCCATAAGAATTAAGTTTGATATGTTTACAACTATTATCCATTTACTTAGCATCATCATCACATCCCAAAACTTGATTCAAGCGTCGTGATTCTTCAATCTACAGCCATCATTTCCTGCTAACGTCGAACTGAAAACATGGCATTTCTTTAGGTCACTATAGAGGCACAAATACTGAAACATACACGAGTTTAAAATCCGAAAAACAAGCCGACCAGGAACGCAGCCATGAATAGACCAGCCGGAAGAATGAAGAACCTGCATTATCCGAAAGCTGGGCTGCAAAAATCGACCAAACGGATCGGTAGTGTACACGTAAATCTCTTTAAAATTGTGTCGTCTCCAAGGCCTCCTGTTTTACATGCTCTCTTTCACTTTCACCTTGTACAAAGGCCTCTTCTTCATGAAAGGGGTCTATACTTCTTTCAGCCTGTGAATTATGTTCAGTGCTTGTACTATCAATGACAGCTCCTGAATTTACTACTCCATTTCTATAAAGAGTATCTAATTCTTGAAAATATGGGCATGTCTTACCGTTTGCAATACTAGCTTTCCCAGTTCCTATTGTTCTTTTGAAATACTTGTTCATATTTTCCCATTTTTCTTTGCATTTCTTTGCCGAACGGTTGTAACCGACCTTATGCATCTCGACTGATATCTCCTCCCATATAGATCCTTTCGAGCCTGTAGCACGGAATTTATGTTCTAGCGATGTTCGAAGTGATATCAAAGATTGTACTTCAGCTCGAGGCCATCTTCTACTACTTGGATCGCTTTTTAGCTCTTTCTGTATGCTGCTTTCACCTCCATCGTCTTCTGTACAGTGGTTTTCGACTGGTTGTGAGATTTGAATTTCATGGCCTAGCAGATTTTGGATGAAGGAGATAATTGCTAAGCTGCGAGACGTTTCTTGGGCTCTCAACTCCTCGTCTCTTCTCATTCTTTCGATCTCCCTCTGTTTCCAAGCTTCTTCTCTGACTATTCTCTCTTTCTCATTCTTTTCTATCATGTCTATCAACTGCCTATGCATCTCCTCCTGTTTATCCATTACCTTCATTATCAAATTTTCCACGAAAAGCTCGAGCGATCTTGTCGTTCGCTTTCTCTTATGGTTTAAATGTTTTTTTGTGCTTAAAACGTCATCACCGCCATCTGAAGTTGAGCTGGAAACAAGTAATCAAGTGATTTTGTTTAAGAAGAGTTCGTCATATATTATCGAGCATACCTATGTTCATCAGAAAAAGTACATATCTATGTATCTATGCATGTATCATGCTGTGCTTTCTACTTATTTGATCTAATAAAACTTCAATCAAGATAACATAAGCTGCTGTGTATGTATTACAATATTAAACAGTTAAAGGTAAGGAATTCCATAAAACCACTTTCGTTAAGCTTCCTTTGAGTTTCGATAATAAAGCAAGCGCCTATGAGAAGGAATTTGCATATTTTACACAGACTTCAAGGATAGGGGTGTCGGGAAAGAGGAGGAAACCTTCCGCCACGAAAGAAAGCTAAATATTTTGAAAAGTAAAAACGTGGAGTTAATGGGTGGACGACGAACTGAAATACTTAGTCAAGATTCCAAGTTCGAGAAGGGTAAATGTCAATGATCAGATGAAAGATTCAGTCTAAAACAGGCTGATTGAATAATCGAACAAACAAGTTTCTAGTTGCAGGACGAAAAGGAGGTAAATAGTCTCATTTCTGAGCTTAACTACATGAAGAATGATAATGTTACATGTATGATTGATGATCGACAAGCGGGTTTCGATTCCTTTATCAGCCTTTTCTCCTCTTTTTCGTAACTTCTTCATTATCAATGAAAATTTTGGTTTCCTTTTCAGAAAGAAGAAAAAAAAAAGTAACATAAAAGCAGAAGTCCTAAAAAGGGAAAATGGCAAGAAATCAACATATCAGAACAACAACTTTCTATTCAATTCATTCTATCCTAAACCCATTGTCACAGATTCAGCAGATGACCACAACAAAAAGAAATCCATGACTAACCATACTAATTGTATCAGAAACCCAAAAGAATTCACATGATTTTAATTTTCAAGAATCGAAAGCCAATCAGTTTCAAAATAAAGAACAGAATTCTTACACTTCTAGAATCTATATCCAATACCATACAAATGAAGTAACAGTTTTGAAATCGAAAGCCAATCAGTTTCGAAATGAAGAACAGACTTCTTGCACTTCTAGATTCTATATCCAATACCATACAAATGAAGAACAGTTTCGAAATCGAAAGCTAATCAGTTTCGAAATGAAGAACAGATGTCTTGCACTTCTAGAATCTATATCCAATACCATACAAATGAAGAACAGTTTCGAAATCGAAAGCCAATCAGTTTTGAAATGAAGAACAGACTTCTTGCACTTCTAGATTCTATATCCAATACCATACAAATGAAGAACAGTTTCGAAATCGAAAGCCAATCAGTTTC